TATCTATCTATCTATCTATCTATCTATCTATCTATCTATCTATCTATCTATCTATGTATGTACCTACCTAGCTACCTATTCTCTGTTACCTATCTAATGTATGTATTTAATTAGGTAAATCAAGTAAAACCTACATAGATGGTTCTCTATCTACCTACCTATCTATTTACATAAAACTGCATGTATCTTATGTATATAATTTAAGTTAAGCCTTTACCAATGCTTATATCTTTATTTAATCTATTTTTGTGTGTGTGTATGTATGTATTGCTTAATTTAAATTTTATTTACATTTAAATATTACTTAATATGGAATATTAAATAAATCATGTAAAACTTATACCAGTATTCTTAGAAAATATACATTGACTCCAGCAGGCATGTGGATGCAGTTTCCTCTCTGACTTCTTTTCTGTCTCTCTTTCTAGGTTCAGCAGATAGATCGTGTGGTAGAAGTTGTAGAGGAAACAATAAAAGGTAATTGTGGATCAGAAGATGCAGTTTTGAACTAAAATTTTGGTATGATATTCAGTGAACATTTATTGAGCATTTTTATGAAGACGTTTATAGTAGGATAAAAATAATAAATTTTGTCCTTGGATTCACACTGACTAGGATATATGTGTGTGTGTATGTGTGTGTGTATGAGTGAATTTGCTCATAGTTTCTTAAGTTTTTTATTTTAAATTTTCTGTAAAACACTGAAAAAAAGAGCAATAAAGTCATGAAAAAACATGGAGGGACTTTTAGATTTGCATAGTAAAACAAGATAACCTTTAATCTTATTAAAATAATTTTAATATTTAAAAGCCACATACTATGGGATATACTGTGTGGCATCTAAAAGAGAGCAACTATAGAAGCAGTAAAGGAAGCAGTGGTTATTAGTAGTTAGACGTGTAGGTGACAGTTAAGTAAGCAGAACCCGGAAGGTATTTGGGGCAGTGATAGCTTTGGTGTGATATTGTGATGGTGAATGCGTGTCATTATGTAGCCACTCAAATCATCAAGCATTACTATTAGCTGTGAACCCAGATGGCTGTCAATGAACAAACCTGCTGAGACACTCTGTGTTGGGTGTTGGCAGTGGGTGCTGGAAGCACTCTGCTTTGCTCAGTTTAACTGTGGACCTAAAACTTCTCTGAAAAATAGAAGGTAATTAAAAAATGAATGGTATTCAACATTGAACTTCCCTGGAGTTGAGTAGAGGTACAGTTTCTGTAGGAAGAAGCCTCTCTTTTCCACGCCAGGTTGATGAAGGATGGCTTCTCAATGAAAAGTTTGGCTCAGTGCAGATTCACTGGAGATTCACTCTGCCTTCATCTCCCCCCCCCCCCCTCCCCAAGACAGGGTTTCTTTGTGTAGCGTTGGCTGTCCTGGACTCGCTTTGTAGGATGCTCTGTTTCTGTTTCTACTGCCCACATTTTATTTACAGAGCTCACGCCAAAGAAATAATGTGCACCCCACCTTCCGCCACACCACTGAGACATTTGTTAACTGCCTTTTGTCACATTACTTTTCTGATGCTTAATGTTCTTAGCTGCAGCTGGAGAGAATTTGAAAGTTTTTCTGTAGACTTCTGAGCTCTGTTGTTTTTATCTTAGTTTTCCAAACAGAACTGTGTAACTTCTGATTGCCTCTTTAGAGCTATTTTCCACATTCAACTGTGTCCATTCAGGCTGGCACTTATGTGCTATCTTATGTAGTTTCTTTGCTCATTGGTACCCAGAGGGACTCTTTTTCTCCAATGCCCAGGAGGCCCATCACTCTTTTGTCCATTAGAACCTTGGCTTTCTGGATCCCAGGAGGATCCCTGCTTTCTAGTGTCTAATAGAATCCTCAGTCTCTGAAGCACAGTGGGACACTCATTCTCTGGCATCTGATGATATCTGGTTAATTGGGGAGGTCACTCTCTCCTTCTATCATATGGGTTCTGGGAATTGAACGCGGGCTGTTGGATTTGGTGGCAGGTGTTTTTACCCAGTGAGTATCTTCCTCCATAAGTATTAATTTATACAGGTGTATGTGCATGTATTCATGTGCATTTTGTTGAGGGAGGGTACAAGTTATGAAACGTGATAATTGATCGTAAGGGAGGGAGGGAGGTAGAGAGAGAGAGAGACATCGAATGAGAGGAAGAGAGAGAGTATAACATGAATGCAGAAAGGGTCTATGGGTAAAAGCATGCTAGCTTTTTGGGGAAATAGGGTTTGGGGAGGATATGGAGGAGAATATATATGCTACGTATAAAACATAATGTCTGGTTATGTGGGAAGATGAGATGAGTTTCATTAATAATTGTGGAAAACTATGTGAAATCTGCTACTGTAAGCCAGTTTCCATTTGAATATCTACAGTGATTATGCTATCTATGTGGTATGCCTATCCATGGTATACCCATGACTGTTTCTAAGATTTATATTCAGATTGCTGTTTATCATATGATAAATATTGTAAAGTATCAGTCTCACAAAGAATTTGTATTATATGTAAACTTTACATTCTTTGCTATGAAAAGACTTACTTGTAAAATACATCACATTCTGACTCCATTACTAAAACATGTTCATGTAACATACATACTTCTAACTTTTGATGTTTGGAGACAGGGTTTCTCTATGTAGCTCTGGCTGTCCTGGACTCACTCTGTAGACTAGGCTGGGCTTGAACTCACAGATCCTCCTACCTCTGCCTCCTGAGTGCTGGGAGTTCTTTTTTTTTTTTTAATATATATATATATATTCTGCTTCTCCATGGATAGATAGACAGTTCAGTCCTTAAAAATGCTTGCTGTTTAAGCCTGGATGCCTAGGTGTTGATTCCCAGCACTCATCGGAAAAACCTGGCATGGTAGTATGTGCCAGTAAACCAAGCTCAGGGAAGGTGGATGGATATAGGTGGATCCCTGGGGCTTCCTGTCCTGCCAGCCTCGCTGAATCTGCATTGCAAGTTCAGGCCAGTGAGAGAGCCTATCTCAAAAACCAGGCGGATGGTACCTGAACAACTCCAAACTGTGCTTGCCCTTCAGTCTCCACATCATATTCTTGCCCCTGTGCATGTGTCATTGTACACTTTCTGCACCTGCATACACGAACGTGCAACACTTACATGTTCACGTGTACACGCATGCACGCACACACACCATACACAAAGTGGTTAGGTTGGATGATCAAACCTTGTTAAGGTTGCTGATAGAGATTGACCTTGTCATTCCTCACTGGGATCCTGACACCAAGAGCCACTGCTATGGTTGGGTGTAACTTAGGGTCCTAAGATGGAAAAGCAGCTGGGCTTCTCCTAGCTTGTTAACACATGTGCTTAGGTTTCCAGGATCCAGTGAAAGTCTTGCCATGCGTGCATCCTTTCCTTCCTGTCACTGCGCAGGAGTGACTTCATAGGTATTACCTTGAATCTATAATCCTTCAATTATTGACTATAATGCTTCAATTATTGAGCTAACAAATCACTCACAGAAGTGGTTTTCATCGTCCGTTTTTTACATAAATGGAAGATTATGTCCGTTGCAGTATATGAACTTTCCTTGCATTGTTAGGACTGCAGGCTTGGTGGGACTGCACTTGCATTAATTACTGCAGCAGCTTCAGTCAGTGCCTTGTCTAGCTCTTCGTAGCTTATCTTTCCCAGAGACAATAATTTGTTCATATTCTACAGGAAACCTGGTTGTGCTGAGTATGCACCAGGCAGTGGCAAGTCTGAAACCCTGCTCTCTGGTTCCAAAGCCCATATTCTTTTTGTTCTGTGAAGCTGCTTATAGTGAACAGGGGATATGAGGAGGAAAGGATCTGTTTGCTGCAGTCACCATGCTCTTCCCCATGGTTTAACTTTACTGTTCCCTTTTCTGATTCTCTTCAAATCCTTGTTGTATATTTTGCTTCTTTACATTTTTGCTTCCCTTTTCTTTTTGTTCTCTGCTTGTTTGCTTCTTTTTTTATTCATTGCCCAGAAATTAAAAATTTCTTTTCTTTTCTTTGATTTTGGCTAAGAATGAATCTTTTTCGTGCATGGAAGTTAGTAAAGATTTGTTTCATTTAAAAATTTTTTGAATAGAATCTTTTACTCTTCCTTTGATGTTGAAGTTTTTAAATTAGGAACTTAAGCTAAATAATTTCTTCATTGGAACTAGTGATGAAAACATCAGTAGAAGCAGCAAGAAATTAATAGTGACTTTCTGTAAGGAAATTTTTTTTGTATGTGCATGTTTAAAGGGTGACATGAGATTTTTCATAAAATATACCTTATATAGTTTTCATTGTCAGTTGTTAGGCCAGGAAAATTACTGCACATTTTCCTAAGGATGTAACCAACTTCCCAGTCCTAATTACATACTGGAGTCAGGGAAGAATTACTCCTGTAGCCACATGTATTTTAATGTAGAAACTTACAATTTTTAAAATTCATTATCATCACCCTGGCATGGTAGCATATGCCTTTAATCCCAGCACTTGGAGATAGAGGCAGGCGGATCTCTCTGAGTTTGAGTCGAACCTTGTCTACATAATAAATTCCAGGATAGCTAGGACTATTACATAGAGAGATCCTGTCTCATAAAAGGAAAAAAAAAAAGTTCATTATCATCATTACAGCTCTCAAAATTAAAAAATTGAGAAGACATTTGATTGATTGACTAAGTCTAACCAGTGCCTGACAGCTTTCATCATTCTTACTTCATAAATGCTACTTAGCAGTATTCTCATTTTGGAAGGTATGGCTTTTCACCATCCGGCTCCTCTACTTCCAGTCTTAATAAATCTTTTCGGTACAGTTTGGTTATGGTGATAAGATTTATACTTGATCGGTTTAAGGAAAACTAGCAATAAGCTGGAGTTCTAGCAGAGTGTATTATGAAATAGATGTGTCCTACTTACTCAGCTTCCCAGACAGCAGGGGGATGACCCTGATGGGTGTCCTCCTCTATTACTCTGCCTTATTTTCTGAGACAAGGCCTGTCACTGAGTCTGGAGCTGTGGGTGCTGGTCAGCAAGCCAGAGCCATCCTGCTGTCTCTTCCCTTATCCCAGGGCTGAGGTTAGAGCTTGAGCTCCCACCCCTGGCTTTTTATATGGGTGCTAGGGCTCCAGACTCAGACCCTCACACTCGTGCAGCAAATGCTTTTACCTCCTGAGCTGTCTCCACATGTGAGGTTAAGTCTTAAAAGTTAAATTTGTTTCCTCAGTTCCCAGAGTCATGTGTTGTGCTCCTGCCATTTTTTAGCAGTGAGCTCTGCTTCCATTTTTGGCTGGGGCAACTTTGACATGGTGGCTGTGAGTATGAGAACAGTAGTGTTTTATATTGTGACACACAGGGACAAAAGCACTTATCACTTTTTTGTTGCAAAGATCACGACTTTGCTCATCAACACACTTCCAACTCAGGAAAGCCTGTCCTAACATGGCAGGCTATGGTCTGAGAGGCTTCTCCTCAGGTCACCTACTCTTTCAGGACTGTTTTGGCTGTTGA